CGCGGGCCGGGCTGGGCTGAGTGCCAGGGCCCTGAGCGATTCCGTCCCCCTTCACTTCTCTGGAAAACGCTCAGGCTCGCCTCTGAACTTGCACTTTGGAAACCATAACTTTTCTTTAAAATGTGCTTTTTATTTTTTCCTGGAAATCTAAGGTCAGAAATTTATTTAGCTGTTCAAGGTAAGCAGTAACTTGATTAATCCTAGACATTAGCCAGGACAGTCATCTTGCCGCTCCCTGTAAACCCGGTCTCATCCCGGGGACTCCAAAGTCAAGGCTGGCGAAAGGCCCACACGCTGTGATTCTATATACATGGTGTCCCCCCCCCCCCCCCCACCCCCCCAAAAAAAGTGTGTACACACACTTTAATTATAAAGGCAGTGTTTGTTGAAACCATTGCAGCTGTCAGCTGTTGGAGTGTACATACATTGTGGGGGGGGGGGCGGACACCCTGTATATGGCCTTTGGAAAAGACGAACTGTGGAGATGGAGATCAGCTCGGGAGTTGCCGGAGAGGAGGGGTTGACAGGGAAGGATCATGAGGGGACTTTTAGGGGGATGAAAATAACAAAATAAGAGTTTTCCAAACAAGATCGAAATCAAGATGGTGCCGCTGCAGAATTACCCTGCATTTCTCCCTGGTGGCACTGAGGTCGCGATACCCAGTTGCTTATTTGGGACGGGTTAATCAAGAGAGGTCCAGTGTATAAAATGGCTAGAAAGTTTGGCTTCCTACCTCCTCATATAGCCAGGCGCCAGAAAGTAGCCCTGCCTTTTACGTTCCCATTCAGAAATTAATCCAAGAGCTCACTCCCTCACGTTGTCACCTTTCAAGATTTCTTACTTGGGTGCTGCTGACAACTCAGGGAGATTCACCTCTGATCAGTGGCAGCCATCCAGAACACTTGAGTCTGGCAGCCCTGTGACAACCCACCCCTGTCGTTATTAGATCAGGCGGCAGAAACGGCCACCATCTCAGTCCTCACGCTGCGTGCCCAGCCATGGGCCAGCACACAGAAATCTGGTCTGACCCAGAGCTGACCAGAGCATCACCGACATAAGAACCCTTTGCTTCCCAAACTTCACAAGTCCTTCCCTGGTGCCTGCTCCCCACGCAGCTGGTGTTATGAGACTCATTGCTTCTGCATTTCAAGAGCAATATGATTATAGTGAAAGTTATGTATTTGCCTATTTTTTTAAGACCACTCCTTTGGCAAAGCAGCCTGAAAGACCAGGATGCTCTCCCTTGTTGGGTGGTGCAGCGAGGCATACTTCTCTTTAATACTGCCCACTGGAGGTATTTTAACCACTGACGTAGTGAAAACGTAATCTCAAAATTGTAACGTATTACCAATAACAAGTAGTATGGCAAGTACAAACAATAGAACCATCTTATCAGTAAAACATATTATTACCAGCCCCCAAAAAGGAGCAAGCATCCTATCTGATACCAACTAAATAGAAAGTTAAATAGATCTACCTTTACAGAATTCTCATCTTACGGCCACCCGTTAGCTAGAAGGTGCTAGAATCTCTAAGGACGTATCAGAATCTTCAGTTTCATTATAGGTTGGCTTTGTCTCAAGGAGAAGAAGGGGAAAGTAAGGGAATTTTTCCCTAAAGTTAACAGAAATTACTACATTGGCTAATTTTTTGTTGTTGTTAACCCTCACCTGAGGATATTTTTCCATTGTTTTGTGTGTGTTTTTTCTAGAGATAGTGAACAGGGAGACAGAGTGAGAAACATCAATGTGAGAGAGACATATTAATTGGTTGCCTCCCTCACATGCCCTGACCAGGGCTGGGGATTGAGCCTGCAGCTGAGGTATTTGCCCTTGACTGGAATCAAACCCCGGACCCTTCAGTCAGGCCAATGCTCTATCCACTGAGCCAAACCAGATAGAGCTACGTTGGCTAATTTGATAAGGAATTTCAGGTAAATCAAAATCAATATTTAAAGGTCCCTTTTTAAGCACACCTTCTCCTCTTGCACTTTTCCGAATTTTTCATTACAGTTGAAACAGACTGGTAAGCTTCCTATGAGGTTCAGTGTCTAAATCCAGAAGAATCTTTTTTGGAAATTAGAATTATAGGCCCTGGCTGGCTAGCTCAGTTGGTTAGAGCGTCATCCCAACACACCTAGGTTACAGGGCACATATAAGAATCAACCAGTGAACCCATAAAGATGTAGAACATTGATCTCTCTCACCCTCTATCTCTCTAAAAAAAAATTCATTTAAAAACATTATTCACACACGGATGCTTTCATGGTCATGTCCCTTTCCCAGAGAAAGCAGGAGGGAGAGCTAACCGCCAATGTTCGATCCATTAGATCCAGAAACTCCTAAGAAATGAGTGCTTTAGTTTATTAAATGGTAAACCAGCTATCAGTGAGGAAACCAAAGCTTTATGTGTCAAATTTCTTCCACCTCTCTCCAAAATAAGACCTAAGTACATTTGGGAGGATGACAGGATGGAGCTCGGGAAGTCAGGTCTGGACCCTGAAGACAGGGCTGTGTTGGGGCAGACACCCCTTAAATCCTGGGCATTACATGTGGCTCCACAAGACCAGCCCAGTCCGTGGGCACAATCCCTCCTGTCCTCAGCCCTGGCTGTTCCCTTTGTCCTGCTGGGAGCGGGCACATGGAGCCAAACCAGAGCCCCAAGGAGGCAGGCTGCTGTCCCCTCTGTGTAGCGGCTGCCGCTTCTGCAGTGACAGGTGAAGTCCGAGTGCCCTGGCCTCTGACTTTCCTATGGAGATCTGGCAAAGCTGGGACTTCTAGGCAGTTTGCTCCTAGGAAGATGCTGCTGGGCTGACCTTCCTCCCTGAGTGTGTGTGGCTTTGTCCTTACAGAAACGTCTCCACCTGTGAGGTGTCCTCCTCTCAGGCCCTCAGCTCCCCTCAGCGGTCCAAGCGCGTCAAGGAGAACACGCCGCCCCGCTGCGCCCTGGTGCACAGCAGCCCGGCCTGCAGCTCCTCTGTCACATGCGGCTGGGGCGACGGCGCCTCCAGCACCACCAGGGAGAGGCAGCGGCAGACCATTGTCATTCCAGACACCCCCAGCCCCACGGTCAGCGTCATCACCATCAGCAGCGACACGGACGAGGAGGAGGAACAGAAGCACGCTCCCACCAGGTGAGACGCGTCACCTTCAGACTCCCAGAAAGGACCAGGACAGCTCGTCTGGGCCACTTTCCATCATCAAACATGAAGGTCCCTCTCTCCTGGCCCCCAAATTGTTGTTTCGCCCCGCCCTAGAGTCCTGACGTGATTTCAGGGGACTGTCTAACAGACTTTCCATAACTGTTTAAAGCCAAAATAATTCGGAATCCCTTGGGAATTAAAAAATAGTTATGGGCCCTATTCATTTGGGAGACTTGAGACCATAAAAACCAGACACAGGATGCCAGTGTATTTCAACCCCTGTAAGCTTACAAAGCTCTGTCTGCCTCAGACTATTGAATTTATTCCCCGTTGGTCGAAATATTTCTCCAATATCGCCTTGGCTCTCTCAGAATTCGAAATAATTGTCCAATTAATCAGAAATTTCCCTGTGTCTGATTAACCCAATCTTTCAAACTGCCAGTTGGCTCTTACCCAGAGAGCATTGCTGTTTATTCCAAGTAGTGAGAACTCATTTCACTCTCCATGCGCTCCCAGGAAGAGGGAAGAAATATTTAATACAGTACTTGCACGACTATTAGCCCTGGCGCCAGAGCCTCTTTTCCTGCCCCTCTGGCACAGTCGGTCCCCTGGCTCTCTGCACCCCACTGGCCTCAGGATCATATAGATCCCAAGCTTCATGACCCCAACCTGCTGGCTCCTCACATGAGGACTGAGGGCCAGGGAAGGGAGGCCTGCTCCCAAGCCCAGCACTGCCAGTCAGCACACATCCCACAGCTGGATACGAAGCTTAACATCCACATATAGGCCTGAATTATTAATTTCTGATTGGATATAATGCCACTAATTAGTCATCACAAATCCTTTTGATCAGATAATAAATTCCCACACTTGAGATCATTGTGAAATGTACAGATAGGGTGATTGCAGCATTCTCATTATAGTTCTCAGTGCTTTGCTGTTTCATGGGAGGGCTGGTGTATGTCCTAGTGTCCTCTTTTCTGTTTAATGGCTCAGCCTGCTGTTCAGTGTGTCTCAAGGAAGGTAACAGAGCACTTCCGGTCCTAGCATCACCCCAGGGGCCAGAGGGGCCTCGGTGTCAGGGATGCCAGGCACAGTGCTTCACTCCCCACCTGCCTACTCCAGGTCTGGCCTCAGTTTCCTTTCTGATAGAGCCCCGAGTTGAGTCAGTACTCCTGAGTCAGTACTCCGTTCTCCCCAGAGCCTCATGCCCCTCAACCCCCAGCCTGAGGGGCTCAGGTGGTTCCTTTACAAAGAGAAAGGCTCTTCCCGGCCCCAGCCTGGCCCCGGCCTGGAGCAGCCTGGCCACACATTTATAGCCTTCGGCACAAGACGGGCCCAACAGCCTCACCCAGCCCTTCGCCACAACTGGGAAAAAGCAGAAGCCATTTAAAACCCTGACAATTGACGAGACTAGAATGTCATTTCTGAAGAATGAGATTTGAGTTGACACAGACTCTGGACACATATAAATAGTTAAATTCATAGAATCAAGGAGTCGACTCTTGGTGGCCAGGGGCTGTCGGTAGGGAAATGGGGACTTGGTAATCAATGGGCATAAGTTGTATCTGAGCAAGATGAATCCAGTCTAGAGATCTGCACAACATTGCACGATAGTCAACAATACTTAAATTTTATTAGGAGGGTAGGTCTCGTGTTAAATATTCTTATCACAATAAAACTTAAAAAATAAATAAAGTTAAGACCATGCTCTGTCACCAAAAAACAGAGAGAATGCTGGCTCTTGGTTCAAATCTGACTCTGTCCCTAACTAGCCATGTGACCTTGAACAAGCAAGTGACCTAAGCTCTCCACATCTGAAGTTCATGGTTCTTAAAACTAGAGTTGGAATATTCTTTCTCGCTGTGAGCGTTAGAGGAGACAACACATGGAAAGCACTTTGAACAGTAGTTGTGCCCCCAGTAAATGTTACCTAGACTGTGTAATCAGTGTCATCGTGATAGAAGAGGAGTGTTTTTCACATGTAGCATTGACTGTGGAGTCAGAGGAGTGAAGTAAATCATGGAAGGTTTATTGGTGGAGATGAGTTTTGACCCTGGTCTTGAAGGATGGAATTGACCGGGACTGGCAAATAGAAATCAGGAACGCATTCCCGGCAGGGCCCTGCCGGCAGGGCTCACAGGTTTGTATCTGACCTTGCAGCAGTGTTTTCTCCACTGGGGCTGGTTTCTTTACTGCTTATCTCCTTATTTCTTTTCATCATTTTAAAATGATGAAAATCATCTATTGCCATGACAACACAATGCAATTGTGAACTCTGGTGGCTTTGTTCTTTTATTCAGAAATGATGTTCTATTAAGGCCATTAAGCAAATATTTTTCATTCTACTCTGTCTCCCTCCCTCCCTCTCTCCCTCTCTCTCTCTTCCATTAACCAATTCATAATGGGATTGATTAGCGATCAGTAATACTTAGACACTATACTGGAATGAATCCCAGTAGAATCAGTGCATACTTGCCTAAAGAATCCATAGTAATAATGCATGCTCATTTTTAAGATGACTCATTTAGCAGCTTCCCATTTGTTCTCTAATCTGCATAGTATAATCAGGTAGAGCACAGATATTTCTAACAATAGGAGAGATTAAAAACAGCTATCAGGACTGACTGGTGTTGCTAAGTGGTTAGAGCTACAGCTGTGCACCAAAGGGTTGTAGGTTCGATTCCCGGTCAAGGGCACATACCTGGGTTGTGGGTTCACTCCTTACCCCACCCTCCAGTTGGGGCGAATGCTGGAGGCAACCAGTTGATGTGTCTGTCTCACATCAATGTCTCTCTCTCTCTCTCTCTTTCTCTCTTTCTTCCCCTCCCTTCCTTTCACTCTCTCTGAGAAGCAATGAAAAAAATATCCTCAAGTGGGGACTAACAAAAAATAAAATGAAAAAGTATCAAATTAATTCACCTCTTCCAAACCTGTCTCATGTAGATCCAGGAAGGTAAGGAATTACCCTTAGACTGTGTTGCACTTATTTGCTCATTAGGCAGAGGGGCCTCCCAGCTCCCATAAAAGGGAGGGGACCCATGAAGCTTAGAGAGGCTTTATGCCTATCCCACACTCCTGGATAGGCATCGAGACACGGACAGCCAGATTCTTCAGCCTCTCTGGTGGGAAGGCTCACACCTGTTGGGTTTCCACGAGGACATGGCCCTAGCTTCTCACAGGTCACCTGGACCAAGCTGCCAGGTGTTCTAGACTTGCAGAACGCCATCCCGAGTGACAGCACGCTCACTGATGCATGAAGTGTATGTTCAGACAGTTCAGTTGTCAGAAAATTCTTACTCATATTGAGCTGAAACTTCTTCACAATTTCCAAATTTGAGTGAAGACTTTGAAATATGTCCAAGGTCACACCAACATCCAGGCCACTGTCCAAAGTCACACAGTCAGTGGGCAGCAGAGCCGGAACTAGACACCACTCTCGGGACACAGCTGGAAGCCAGCCCTGTCTTCATGTGGGGCCACCACCCCAGACACACTTTCAGCAGAACCCGTCTGCGTTGTGTTCGCTTTAATCACGCAGAACTGGCTCTGATGGAGCTGAGAGCAAAGGCAGGGCAGCGCCGCCTCCCAGCATCCCCCAGGAGCTGGGAGCACCGTGATTCGGTGCGGGGTGGGGTGGGGTTCCCTTTAATAGCATATTTCTACACAATAGACACCCCACAGACTGGTGGGTTTCCCTTTGCCCCCCCCCCCCCCCCCCCCACCACAGGAAACCACTACAGGTCTCCCTGGTCTTGGTCTCTTTGAAGCAGCTCGCCCTCCTCCCGGGCTCCCTCCTCCTGATGCCACAGCTTCCCACGATGTCCGCTGCTCGTGGCTCCTGCTCCCGACTTCAGAGGTTCGGGGATCTTTCCTGCTGCCCCACTTTCTGGTTCTTGGGCCAGATCTCAGTGCCACACCCACCCCTTTTTGTTTCTGAATAAGCATGTAGACTTTTTAAAAATGGAGATATACCCTGTTTGGGGGCAGCATCCGGAAGGCGGTGTGGAGACATGAGGGCCACCTAAGTGGACGCTGGGTGCAGTTCAGTCCTCGACGGGTCTCCCAACCATGGCCACTAGGTCATCCTCATGGGGTCCCTGGGGCAGCCCCTCCGCAGGAATGGCTTGCCTGCGTAGCTTCACCTTCCAGGTCCTGGCTCCAGAGCCCTGGGCACAGCCCAGCAGGATTCAGTGATTGTGGAATAAGTGCAATAAAATGTGAAATGTGGACCCTGAAAAAAAAAATGGAGATATAATTCGCATGCCATACAAATCACTCACTTAAAGTATATAATTCAGTGGTTTTGGAATTTTACATTAATTTTTTTAATTGTGATAAAAAAAATTGCCGTTTATGTTTAAGCATACACTTCAGTGACATTAAATACGTTCAGTGTGTGCAGCCACAACCACTGTCTATTTCCAGAACTTTTCCATGACCCCAGGCAGACTCTCTACCCATTAAATGGTAACTCCTGTTCCTCCCTCCCCCAGCCCCTGGTCACCTCTATTGTCTATGAATTTGCTTATTCTAGGTACTCATGTAAGTGGAATAATACAGCATCTGTCCTTCTATGTCTGGCTCATTCCACTTAGCACAATATTTCAAGGTTAATCCATACTGTAGCTTGTATCAGAACTTTATTCACTTTTATGGCTGAACAGTATTCCATTACATACCACATTTTGTTTACTCATCTTTTGATGGGCACGGGTTATTTTCACCTTTAGATTATATATTTTCTCCTCTCAGCCATTAGGAATAATGCTACTATGAACATTGGCATTCAAGTATCTGTTTGAGTTCCTTTGTGTACGTGCCTGAGAGTGGAATTGCTGGTCACATGGTCACTCTTTAATTTTTTGAGGAACAAGCATATGGATTTTTTGCATTTAAACTGTTATAAGTGGGAGGGGTAGATCTTTATTAATTAAAATGTATCTATTTTATCAAAATTAATGTGAAGAGCTATAAATGCATGTTCATTCTTCACCTTCTTTTGAGTTCTTGATGGTTATCATCGGTACAACCCATTTGACAGTTCATGATGGGAGGCTTTGTGACATCTACTCTACTCTTCAACTGGTTACTTTAAAACTTTTACCCTTTACCTTGTCATGCTTTTGTACAGTCCCGCACTATTTTAATCTCTTGGGCACACATACATGTATTGTATGTTTGTGTACAGGAATTCCCTGTAGCACCTAGCATAGACCTTCTAGATACCTAACTGATGAGTTTTAATTTCCTTCATATCCAGCGAGTCTGCGCCTTGGTAGAATTCACTGTGCCTAGATATGTTTTTTGCAAACCTGTTTTCACATGTTAAATGAGGTAACACAACTAATGATAATAGCAGCGAACTTTTATAGAATACTTGCTTTGTGCCGTGTACTATTCGAAGCATTTTCCTTGTATTTCCTCACTTAATTCTCCAAATAAGCCTATAATATAGCTACTGTTATTAGTTAGCCACGTTTTACTGATAAGAAAACTGAAGCATTCAGAGGTTGAAAAGCTACCTGAGGCCACACCTCTCCCCCCCCCTCCTCCCAACAAGTGCTGGTGTTAGACATCTGGCTGCAGGGCCCTGTTCTCACCCCGACACAGCTGGGGAAGGATCCTGCTTCCCTGAACCAGGACAGTGTGCAGCCCCTAGAGGAATCATCGGGCCCAGAGGTCATAGTGTCCACAGCAGGGGCCACGCAGGTCACACGCAGTCACTGCCCAGCCCCTCCCTTCTGCCTGGGGCTCCTGAGTTGGCCCACTTCTCTGCTGCCCTTAGGAGGCAGAGAGCGACCTTGGAAAGGGGCTGGCCTGTGGCTGGCCTGTGACCTTGGCCAAGATGTCCGTGATTGTCTGTCCCCATCAGGCCTCTATAAATACCAGCTTCTCTTAGCAAATCCGTTGGAAACTGACCATCTTACTTAGGCAACGGATATTTCTCAAAAATAGATGATCAATATATAAAAATAGATGAAAACCCATTTTTGAAATCTTCACAATAAACAACAAATTTTATCTGCATCATCCCACCAGCCTCTCACTGAGTTTGGAGGCAGAAAGAACTGGTTCCCAGAGTAACCACACAAACATAAATATCTCAGAAAAAGTGCTGGCCGAGAGCCATCCATTGCCAGTTCCTCCTGTCGGCGTGTTGAGTTTCAGGATGAAGAGCAGGGTCCAGAGCAGCTCCCCACTAGGCATCCCCCTGGTGGAGCCCCTCTGACCTCACCTGGACACAGTGCTGTCCCCTCCCCGATCTGAGGGCCGGGCTCCCCGAGAAGGGGACTCTCAGAGGTCCTGGGTGCGGGCACCACAGCCATCCCCGCAGCACTCTCCCAGCAGAGAGGTTGCCGATGGTGTGAAGTCAGCTCCGATGGCTTTCTCAGCACGTCTGAACCGTGTGTGGGATCAGCCCCCATAACCTCCCTTTCTCCCATCCGTCTCTGCGTCCTGGCTGCTCCTGGGTGTTCCCGTCCCTCCTGCCTAAGTTCACTGCCTCTCCAGGCCCTGAGCCTCACTGTGCTCTCCCTTCCCGGCGGGGGCGTTCTCCCACATGGGCCTTGGGTGGCCTGGGGTTCTGGGCTTTGTTTGCTCAGACGTCCCTTCCTGGTGGCTCAGGGGTGTTGCCGCACCAGGGAGAGCCCAAGCCCACTCGAAGCTTCTCACTCCCAGCTTCCAGAACCGCCTGTGGGCCCAGCTCCGGCCCTCTCTCAGGTCTTCATGTGACAGATGACACCCATGTGCCCTACCTCCCTGCGAGGGCCATGGAGCAAGAGTCCCATCCGCTGCCCCGGCACGAAGGGGGCTCTTCACACGGCCGCCGGCATGAACTGCTGGCTGGTGTCTCACCTCCCGGTTCTGATTTGTCTTTCCAGCACTGTCTCCAAGCAGAGGAAAAACGTCATCAGCTGTGTCACAGTCCACGACTCTCCGTACTCCGACTCCTCCAGCAACACCAGCCCCTACTCCGTGCAGCACCGCACCGGGCACAACACCAACGCCTTCGACACCAAGGGGAGCCTGGAGAGCCACTGCACTGGGAACCCCCGGACCATCATCGTGCCCCCCCTGAAGACCCAGGCCAGCGACGTGCTGGTGGAATGTGACAGCCTGGTGCCAGGTAACTCAGGGCCCGGGCAGGTGACCTCGCTGGAGATGGCCTTGCTCTCTGCTGCTGGCAGTTTTGTTGTGTGAGAGCTGACAAGGGCCGGGTTACTACAGATTTTGCTCCAGTCACCAAGGGAGGATTCTGCTAGACATCACGTTGGATAAGCGGCGTTTTCATTTTTTAATTCTGTAATTAGTACCTCGCTGCCTTTACAGCGGCTCTCCCTCTGATTTGGTTAATAAATCACAGACAAGAGCCACCCAGTTCCTTGTCTGCTGGTCTGGATGGACACCTGGTGTGGGGAGTCCCTGACCACGTTCTGCCATCACTCCCACCAGAAGCGCTGGGGTAGGGCTCTATGGGCAGAACCTCCCAGCCTTGCTTGGCGATGGTGAAACACCTTCCCACGTCTCAAAGGGCATGGCGAGGTGTGTGTCCCTCACACATTGCTTAATTAAAAGTATTCCCTCCAGCCCCAGCTGGTTTGGCTCGGTGGATGGAACATTGGCCCTCAGACTGAAGGGTTCCGGGTTCGATTCCGGTCAAGGGCACATACCTCGGTTGTAGGCTCAATCCCCGGCCCTGGTCAAGATGCATGCAGGAGGCAACCAATCAATGTCTCTCTCTCATATCAATGTTTCTCTCTCTGTCTCTCCCCCTACCTTTCATTCTCTCTAAAAATCAATGGAAAGCCCAGCTGGTGTTGCTCAGTGGTTGAGCATCAACCAATGAACCAGGAAATCCCGGTTTGATTCCCAGTCAGGACACATATCTGGGTTGCAGGCTTGATCCCCACCCAGTGTGGGGCATGCAAGAGGCAGCCGATCAATACTTCTCTCTCATTATTGATGATGTTTCTATCTCTCTCCTTCTTCCTTCCTCTCTGAAATCCATAAAAATATTTTTTTAAAAAAATAGATAAATATCCTCAGGATTAACAACAACAAAAGTATTCCCTCCATCCTGAGAAGAAAAGCTGAGATCTTAACCTCCTAGATACAGTTAGTGCCTGACCCCAGATTCAGTAGCATCTATTCAGTGTCTCCCGGGCTCAGACTCGCCAGGAGGAGAATTTGGGGAATAAACACACACACTCGCTTTTCTGCCCCGAACTATCACCAGCCCGTCCAAGCCAGTCAGCGCTCTCACGGTGGCACCATTTAAAAGGAAAAGGACGGGAAATGCCAGAAAGCTTTTGTTTAGATGTGAGGAGCTGTTGTCCATCAGCTGTTACTCATTCATCCCGTCTGCGTCACCTTGAACCTTCCTGAGTGGTTGGCAGCTGTAAGGCCCACGAGGCCTGGGAGATCCAGGTGCTGCGCCTGAGGCTGAAGAGTGGAATTTAGGATGGGGTATTTGGGGACTTGTCCTGCCCAGAGCATAGGTCCTTCTACTGTACATGGTGGGGGACAGGAGGACTTCTCTCTCCCCAAGCCCTCTTCCTGTTCAAGTCGCCAAAGGATTCCCCTAAACACCACATATAAGCAGCGTTTTCATTTTTTAATTCTGTAATTAGTACCCAGGTGAGTATTTCAGTGAGGACCTCGGCCGGAAGCAGCACCCTCTGGCCATGACCAAAGGAACCTATAGGCAAACAGCTCACCCAGGAGGCAGGCCTCAGACGCCCATCAGATGATTGTTTACACCCGTATCCATCACACATCACCAGTTTAAGTATTTGCCACGGATGTTATTTCTGCAGTGTTGTGTGTTGATCGTTACTTAAGTACCTTAAATGCCTTTGTCAACACCTCGAGGCTGCAGCTTGGAGATGCTGCCCGGCTGTCACCCCAGGCGGCCAAGCTGCCTTCGCCTCTGTAGGAAACTCTTCCCTGGACCGCCATCGCGTGGCTGGATTTCATCTCGGGAGTAGACGGGTGGAGTAAGGGGTTGGCAGAGAGAAAGCTCTGAAAACCAGATTTTAAGCCTGAATAAAATAAGCCCGGACAGCCGCCATGTTTGTTTGGCTTTGCTCTCAGGAACTGTCCCCCAAGAGCTCTCCATTCCAGAATTATCCCGTTTGGGCGCCCCTAAGGTTTCTCACACGAGAGCCAGTGCACCATGCTAACATCCAGGGAGTGAGGGAGTCTTTCTCCTGTAAAATGGGAGAAGTGTGCCCAGCCGGTGTGGCTCAGTGGTTGAGCATCGACCTATGAACCAGGAAGTCATGGTTCGATTCCGGTCAGGTTGCGGGCTCGGTCCCCAGTAGGGGTTGTGCAGAAGGCAGCTGATCAATAATTCTCTCTCATCATTGATGTTTCTCTCTCCCTCTCCCTTCCTCTCTGAAATCAATAAAAATATATATATTTTTTAAAATAATAAAATGGGAGACGTGTGAGAGAGAGAACCTGGGAAATGGAACCCAGTGCTGGGAAGACCTTTAGGAAAAGAAACACTTAAAAGTTGAGAATCTGGAAATTGGCTCCTTAACTCTTTACTTGCCCCCCCAAGTCCGCAGGAAGCCCTGTACATCCCAGGTTAAAGTTTGCAGCCTTAATGCGCGCGGCTTGGTGTGAGGGCTCTCCTGCTTAATTAACACACGTTCTTGGGATTGGAGTTGAAATCCTGAAGAAAGATTGGCCTTTCATGGAGCCAGCAGAGAAGGAAATAGTTCTCCCTCGTCAGCAATCCAAAGTCCAAAAAACCAGATTTTAAGCTCACAGCAAACTCATTTGGCAGTAAAAACCTGGCCTGGCCCAGCCAGACGCTTTCATTTGTGTCATAGTCGTATATGTGCTGCTTTGGGAAGTGTCCCTGTGTTTTGTGGCAGAAATATTCATGTGTTTGGTGGGAGGGAGGTGTCGAGGCTCCTCTAGGGGTGACCTAATATATTGACTATGTGCCAAATTACCTTCCTAAAATCGGAAATTTTGAATTTGAAAACTGACCCCAGGGATATGAGATAGGGGGCTGTAGACCTACAGGGTGAGACACTGAGGTTTGTAAATCAAGGGCGCTTGTGTTCCAGACAACTCTGGGGATTCTGTAACAGTACTGATTCTTAAACACACGTGATAGCCCAGCTGGCGTGGCTCAGTGGTTGAGTGTTGACCTATGAACCAGGAGGTCACGGTTCGATTCCCGGTCAGGGCACGTACCTGGGTTGCAGGCTCTATCCCTGGTGTGGGGTATGCAGGAGGCAGCCGATCGATGATTCTCTCTCATTGATTTTTCTATTCCTCCCTCCCTCTCCCTTCCGCTCTGAAATCAATAAAAATATATTTTTTTAAAAATAAAAATGAAGTAGTTAAAAAAAAACACATGATAATGGCCCTGGCCAGTGGGCTCAGTGGTTAGAACATCGGCCTGTGCCCTGAAGGGTTGCGGCTCAATTCCTGGTCAAGGACATGTACCTGGGTGTTGGGTTTGATCCCTGGCCCCAGTTGGGGTACGTTTGGGAGGCAACCAATCAATGTTTCTCTGTCTCTCTGTTCCTCTCCTTCCCTCCCCTTCTCCTCCCTCCCTGCCTTCCACTCTCTCTAAGGATCAATGGGAAAATATCCTCTGGTGAGGATTAACAACAACAAAAAACATAATGTGTCTAAGAGTTGGCTCAAGATAGACCTTATGCAGATTATGTAGGAATTGATTTTTTCTCAAGTGGCCAATGCTAAATTTCTCTTGGCCTTTTGTTTTTGTTTTTGTTTTTTTGTTAATCCTCACCCAAGGATATTTTCCATTGATTTTTAGAGGGAGTGGAAGGGAGGGGAAGAGACAGAGAGAGAGAGAGAGAGAGAGACCATCGATGTGAGAGGCATTGTCTGGTTGCCTCCCGCACACACCCTGACTGGGGCTGGGGATGGAGCCTGCAACTGCAGTGCATGCCCTTGAAGGGAATCAAACCCGGGACCCTTCATTCTACAGGCTGATGCCTAACCACGGAGCAGAACCAGGTAGGGCTCCCTAGGCCTTTTTTTTTTTTTAAATAAATTTTATTGATTTTTACAGAGAGGAAGGGAGAGGGATAGTTAGAAACATTGATGAGAGAGAAACATCAATCAGCTGCCTCCTGCACGCCCCCGACTGGGGATGTTTCCGCAACCAAGGTACATGCCCCTGACCGGAATCGAACCTGGGACCCTTCAGTCCGCAGGCCGACGCTCTATCCACTAAGCCAAACTGGTTAGGGCTCCCTAGGCCTTTTAACACAAGGTGGATGGTGCCTAGGAGGGCGGCCAGATGTCCAGGTCGAATATTCCAGCTCTGAGCTTTGTCGGCCGTGGTGCCGGCGCCACTCTGGGAGGGGACGTGGTGGCGAAAGTTACTGAAACTTTAAGACCACCCAGTGCAGCCCCCTAGCACAGACAGGTGAGGAAGCCGAGGGCCAGCCTCGCCAGCGTAGCTCAGCAGCGTCCTGGTCCTGCCATCAGAGGCCGGCTCTGCGGGGCCCGCATGACGCCTGTGGAGCTACACTAGCATGTCCGTCAGCAGCCCCTGGCGCGGCGTGCGGCAGTGCGGCCTGAGCACTCCCCACTGCATTCCCCAAGGACGTGTCATGTCTGAAAAACAGAAACGGTTGCCTGAATAGCTGAGAATCTCAATATGTCCAACAAACATGAGAAAAATGGAAGGTCCTTCTCGGTGAGCTGCTGGTTCTAAAGCAACCAGTGCCACTGCCTCCAGAAGCCCCGTGGTGTCGTCTCCTGTAGAGACTCCTGTTCCCTGAGGACCTGCTGCGCAGGCTTCCCAGTGGCAGGCGAGAGGCAGGCAGGACCTCATCCTGGTGCCTGCCCTCGTTCTCAGTACTCAATGCCCTTGGCTGCAGAACCTCCTGGGCCAGGGAAGCCAGGAAAGCCGCCTTCCTCCTTCCTCGGCTTCCCGGGGCCCAGCTGGCCCATACCAGCCAAGGCGCACGCTGGTGGCAGCCACCCCCGGAGCTCCAGCCGCTGACCCAGGACACAGGCCGTGTGGGTAACAGTCCATCTCCCACAGCTCGTTGTCCCTCCTGTGTTCTCAGCCACAGGATTTCTCTCCCAGCCTCTCCAGTCTCTCGGGCTAGTTAGGTTCTTTGGAAAGCAACAGTGCGAATTCTGCGAGAATGTGTTGGAGCAGTGGTTCTCAACCTTCCTAATGCCGCGACCCTTTAATACAGTTCCTCATGTTGTGGTGACCCCCAATTTCATTGTTACAAATTGAACATAATTAAAACATAGTGATTAATCACAAAAACAATATGTAATTATATATGTGTTTTCCGATGGTCTTAGGCGACCCCTGTGAAAGGGTCGTTCAACCCCCCAAAGGGGTCGCGACCCACAGGTTGAGAACCACTGTGTTGGAGATGTGAGGCTCAGGGAAAATTCAGCAACTAGATCCAAGGTGGGGCCAGAGCCACAACTCCTGGGACCTGGGCTGGTCTCACCCGGGCCTGGGCAGTGAGACTGGTTTGTGATTGGCCAGATCTGAAACAGTCCCTTCCTGGAAGACCCCTGTTGGCCCCAGAAGGGTAGCCGAGGACCTGGGACTGACCTGTGACCTGTTTCTCCTCCCGACACAGTCAACACCAGTCACCACTCGTCCTCCTACAAGTCCAAGTCCTCCAGCAACGTGACCTCCACCAGCGGCCACTCTTCAGGGAGCTCGTCGGGAGCCGTCGCCTTCCGGCAGCAGCGGCCGGGGCCACATTTCCAGCAGCAACAGCCGCTCAACCTCAGCCAGGTAAGCCCAGCGCTTCTCACTGCCCCTCCAGTGGGGGCAGGAGGTGCCCTGACCGAACACTGGTGTTTGCTTTCCTCCGAGGGTCACCCTTGGGGAAGCTGGTACCACTGGTTCAGGGAGAGCTGGCCGGAAGCAGGGCGACCTGTTTAGTGTCATGTAGCTCCGAGTGGCATGTGCCAGCACTTGTTAGGATGGCCCACATCTCGCCAGTTCGGCCCAGCACAGGGAAAAGCACTGCTGCGTGCCGTGGAGGAGGCCACGCCCCGAGCCCGGACCACGCGGTCGAGGTTTGGGGAAGGTGGGACATAAATAAAGCAGAGCCTCTGAGGGCAGAGCCAGCCTGTGCGTAAAGGGTCAGCTCGGTGCAGAGTGGACCCGGGCCTGTTTCCTGAGGAGCCACGAGGTGAGACAAAGGGGTTTGTGCTCAGGAAGCCCCGTGCACTGAGCGGTGCCTGGGCCGTGAACTGAGGCCGCATTGGCACCAGGACTGAGAATGCCCCGGTAAGAGAGGGCTGGCACATGTGTCTGATACAACGGCAGACAGCAGAGGTCTGAGGGCCTGCATTTTAGAGAACAAGATCTCACAGGGAGAGAAACAGCCGGTCTCTCAAAGGGGCTCCTCTGCTGCTTCCCAGCTGCAGAGCGTCCGTGGGAGCTGTCTGTGACCTATAACTGCAGTGGCTTTGTCTGTGTGTCAGCCAGCCTGAGGGACACTGGGCACGGCCTCCTTTCTCAGTCCCGGCTAATTTACTGCCCAGCATCCTCCAGAGGTGTCTTCTGTCACTCCCACTGCTGTGGCCTACTCTCCCTCCCCTCCCCCCTTCTCCTCTCCTCCTTCTCTCCTCCCTTCTCTCCCCCCTCTTCCCCTTCTCATCTCTCTTCTCTCTCCTCTCTCTCTCTCTCCTTCCCTCCTCTCCATTCTCACTTCCCCCTCCCCTTGTCCCTCCTCCCCACTTCTTTCTCTCCTCCCCTCCTTACATCCCTCTTCCTCCCTCCTTTCCTCTCCCTCCTCCCTATCCTCACTTCCCCCTCCTCCCCCTCCTCTCTCCCTCTTTCTTCTCCTGTCCTCACTTCCCCCTCCTCCTCTCTCCCTCTCCCTCCTCCCCTCCTCACTTCCCCCTCCTCCTCTCTCCCTCTCCCTCCTCCTCCTCCTCTCTCCCTCTTCCTCCTCCCCCTCCTCCTCCTCTCCCTCCTCCCCGCCCTCCCTGAGTGGGTGCCATCAGCGTGCTCCGTGCTCTCCTGCGGTGCTGGCTGAGGTGTATTTTTCAAATGCGGTAGATGCGGTTCCAACAGACCTCGCTCAGCCTCCACATTGGCCATCGTATTCCCTTGTCTTCCCAGTGGCTCACGTGGGCGTCTGTGCCCGTCTCCTGATGTCGGCCCCTGTGGACTGGCGAACAGGCAGGCCGAGCACCTCCGAGCAGCTGGCCTTGTGTATAGCTGAGCATATAAGCCGTCGCGTGGTTACTTAGCTTTTGGTCTGTTTCAGTCACAAATTCTAGCGCTATTTTATACTTAGTGTAAGAGGTGGATTTGATGAATTTGTCCTGAAGTTAGTGTGGGGTTTTATGTAAGTGAGAAACCACGCGCACGCATGTAACTGCTTCCCAGTCACTGGCGCCTCTCCAAGCGCTGCTGCTGGGAGTTTGCATGAATCCCTGGCCTCCCAAGGCTCAGCACGCCACACCGTGCAGCACACTGCCTACCCGGCCAGCATCGTCCACCAGGTCCCCGTGAGCATGGGCCCCCGGGTCCTGCCCTCGCCCACCATCCACCCGAGTCAGTATCCAGCCCAGTTTGCCCACCAGACCTACATCAGCGCCTCTCCAGCCTCCACCGTCTACACTGGATACCCACTGAGCCCCGCCAAGGTCAACCAGTACCCGTACATATAGACACTGGGAGGGGGCACGGGCGAGGGCAGGAGCTGGGCGTCTGGCACTGAAGACGCCGCACAGCAGCAGTACAAGGGGCGGGGCGGGGACACTGCTGACACTTGAACTAGGAAGTGGGAGGACTGAGCAGAGAAGAGAACATTTTTAAAAAGAAGGGATTCAGGAGGGGATCTATGCTTTTTATTTTAAAAAGAAAAAGAAAAAAAAGAAAACGTCGGTAACAAAAACACAGCTCATGAACCCATTCTGCACCAAACTGGAAAGGAGAAGAGAGAGCGATGGAAGATTCCGGAAGGGGGGCCAGTTTCTGAAGAACTTTGTCTATGAACTTTTCAGAGGTTATTTTCATATGGCAGCAAGTGACATTTAAGAATTTGCTGTCAGGGACACCTGATATGGAAATCCAATAGGTTTTTCATGGTTGAACATGAGGATTAGGGATTTTTCCAGAACTCTGAAGGGTCAACAGCCCTAGAGGTCAGGCTGCTGTGGCCTGATGTGGGGGGTTGGGCTGTTCAGGCTCCTTGCGGGGAAGGGGGTGGCCAGGCCCAGGAAGCCCTCCCCGAAGGGCACATGTTCTCTTTCCGAGCACTCTGGATAAATCCCTAAGGAAGTTACTCCTCAAATGTCATTCATAATGTTTGTTCCAAACTTTAGTTTTTTCTTTCTGAAGATTTATTTTCTCTTTGAATCAATCCCTAGTCGCATTGCAGGGCTGGCAGGCGTTGCCGACACCCGGTGGAATGTAGCATTCTGCACCCGTTTCCGCTTTGTGTTCAACTTCCGTGATACCAAGAGACTATCCTCAGTGTAACTGCACACAAGTGATAGGGCACAGGCATGTAACCAACGCGGTGGCCCAGGCGTGAGCGCAAGCACGCCTGTGCGTCCTGGGCGCGGCCAGGCTCCCTCCTGACTTGACATCATTCCCTCCTAGTGCCTTACGGAACCAGAGCGCGAGGGTTTCCTTCCACGGTCCTCCGAGCAGCTGGCGGGCGAGTCAGAGCATCTCGGCACTTTTGTGCTGTTGAAACATTTTACTCTGGTCTTTCCTCTTCTTGTTTTTAAATTTTAATTTAATCTAATTTTAGTACCTGTTGTCTGTCTATGGCTGTTTGCTGGCAGAGGGGTGTCAGGGAGCTGGCAAGGCCGGAGAGCCCCCGGATGTTGAGATGTGGGGTGGATGGTGGGGGTGGACCTGGTGGGCGTGAGGTTTTAGATGACTTTATTTGGACA